TTTCCTGACCGCCTAAAATTAGGCACGCGGAGTTCCAGTATTTAAAAGCGAAGATGACTCGACTTTATCTAACTATAGACCCATCTCCATACTCCCGTGCTTTTCAAAAATATTGGAGCGCATAATGTATAATAGACTCTTTACATACCTTCAAAATCATAACAATCTCTACAATGACCAATACGGATTTAAAAAAAGCCACTCAACTGAACATGCTGTAATAAAATTAGTTAACGAAATTTTAAGTAGCTTTGACAAAAACAAACACACCCTTGGAGTATTTATCGACCTTTCAAAGACTTTTGAAACAGTGGATCACGAAATCCTTCTATACAAACCTCATAATTATGGTATACAAAATAAAAATTTAAAATGCTTCAATTGCTATCTAAAAATCCGTAAACAAGCCTTATTTTTCAATAAAACATACACTCCCTTTAAAATCATCACATGTGGTGTTCCCCAGGGGTCTATTCTAGGACATCTGCTTTTCCTAATCTATATAAATGACATATTTTTATCTTCCAGTATATTAAACTTCATTCTTTTTGCAGATGACACTCATGCTTTCTATACCCACTCTAACATTACTACACTTTTTAATACAGTAATTCAGGAACTTGAAGAGTTGAGCGATTGGTTTTAAGCAAACAAACTTTCTGTCAACATTGAGAAAAGTAATTATATCTTTTTCACAAAACCTTACAATTCAGACAAACTACCATTAAAACTTCCAGATATTCTAATAGACAAAGTCAGACTAAATCGAGCGTTCTCAGTTAAATTTCTCAGGGTATTATTAGATGAACATATTAGCTGGAAAGACCACATTAATATATTATATTACAAAATATCTAAAAACATTGGAATTATGCATAAAACCAGATATATTTTAAATAATGCATGCCTTAATAGTTTTTATTTTGCATATATACATAGCTATATAACTACTGCAATATTGCCTGGGCTAGTACCTACCAATCAAAACTAGATTTAATATATAAAAAACAAAAACAAGCGTGTCGTATATTAACAAACGCAAATAAAAATGCCAATTCTAAACATTTAATGAGGGAACTGAGAGTTCTTAATATCTACAAACAAAATGTATATTGCATACTTCAGTTCATGTTTAAACTCAAAAATGATCTGGTCTCTGAAGTCTTTCATAACTATTTTCATCTTATTAATCACAAATATCTAACAAAATACTCTATCAAGAACTACTATATTCCGAAAACCTCTTTAAGACAATCTAAATTTTCAATATCCGGCAGAGGACCCCAATTGTGGAACTCATTTCTAACAAACAAAATAAAAACGATAAACTCATTCCAACATTTTAAATGCGTTGTAAAGCAACAGCTACTAGACCTCAACATTAATGAAACAATCTCTTATTTTTAAAATTTTTCCTTTTTCAATTTAAATTTTTTTTTTCCTTCACTTTTTCTTGAAATTCTATTATATTACTTGCTTGGTTATTTAATGAAGTTCATTGTTAAAAAAAAAAAAAAAAAAATCACATGCATTATAAATATTTTTTTATATTTGTATTTGGTTTATATTCTATTATATTTTGTCAACGACAAAAATGGGGCAAGATGATAATACTATTGTCTTCTACTTGCTCCATTCATATATTTCACGGTAAAATGTTGTACAAATTTATATTAATAATGACGAAATATATATATATATAAACATAAACATAAAAAAAAAAATCATATATATATATATATATATATATATATATATATATATATATATATATATATATATATATATATATATATATATATATATATATGTATTTAATATATGAACATCAATGAATAAGAATTTTCTCAATACTTTGAGAGAATTCGTATTTCTTTTTTGTTAAAAATTCTTTGAACATTTAATAAAAAAGAGTATGAAAGTCTTTACCCAAACGACCCAGTACCGTCACGTATTTATGGTGTAGTTAAAGCGCACAAACCGGAAAAATAATATCCTATGCAATTAGTAGTTTCAACGATCGGGACACCAAGTTTTGGAGTATCACATTATTTAGTAAATATATTTCAACCAACTTTATATTTCAACATAACAAAGTTAAAAAACTCGTCAACTTTTGTAAAAACAGCTAAACTTCGGAATATATCAAACGATGAAATACAGGTATCTTATGACGTTGTCAATTTATATTCATCAATCTCTCTGGGAGAGGCTTCAAAAATTCTTCTTGATACGTTAGAGCTCTTTCCATATTTAAATAAACTAACAAAATTAAAAGTTTCCGAAAAAAAAATCATTAATAGAACTTGTTTATATAAATATTATTTTTTATGGAATTCACGAGCTTGTGGATTCAGGTCCAATAGGACTGTCACTCATTGTAATATTTGCGGAAGTTTTCCTGCAATTTTTTAAACATAAAGCAATCAGCATTGCGCTTTATTCTAATCCACCGTAAGAAATTGTTTTTGAGGTACGTAGATGATAGCCTAGCAAGATTTACAAATAAAGGTTTACAAATAAAAATGCCATCAGTTTTCAACAAATATTAAAAAATCCACATCATGCCATTAAATACACAATTGAATTGGAAGATGAAAACAAAAGATTGAATTTTTTAGACATCTAAATAACCAATAATTGAAAAGGTAATTATGATTTTAACATAATCGAAAAAAACAATAACAAGTATTCAGGTTAAGGCTAATTCAAACCACGATCCAAAAATCTTTGAAGAATTATTTAAAGGATTTATTCATAGAGCTTTATCAATTCACACTGAAAAATTTAAAAAAAAGAAATTGATTTGCTAATAAATGTGTTTGCTGAAAATGGATGCGAAAAGAAAAAATTACAAAACCTTGCAAATATTGTTATAAAAAAACGACACTCAAATAATGAAATAGTTTTATCTAACAACGAGACAACAACTAAATCACTAACTTCGAAACAACTGTATCACTAACTTCAAAACAACTACATCACTAACTTCAAAAAATCTTTAGGAAAGCAGGGCAGTCTTTAAATCTAGTGCAAATCTTAAACCTTTGCTAACTTCACGCAACAAAACAAAACTACCATCAAATAGCTATCCAGAAGTATACCTAATACAATGCGATTGTGAACAAAAATAAATCGGCGAAACAAAAATGAAAATAGCAACTAGAACAAAACAACACCAAAAAAATGTTTTTGAAGAAAAATTTAAGCAATTTGCAATTGGGCATCATAAAATTAAATGTCCATGTAATATAAAATGGGATTAAGTAAAAAAGTCAAAAATAGAATCTAAAAAATTTGAAAGAAAAGTCCGAGAGGCAATCGAAATTTAGTTTAACAAATGCGTACCTAAGAACGAAGGTATGAATTTCATTGTGTTGTACTCTCTGTTGCTTTAGTCTAAAACAATCGCAGTGTATGAAATGACTATTTTTTACAATTAAGTTACTGGTTTTATTTTTTAATTTTTGGTTTTTTAATAAAGTTACTGGTTTTATTTTTTAATTTTTGGTTTTATACTTAAGTTACTGGTTTTATTTTTTAATTTTTGGTTTTATAATTAAGTTACTGGTTTTATTTTTTAATTTTTGGTTTTATAATTAAGTTACTGGTTTTCCAATTTTATTATTTATAAAACGACATTTTAGAAAATTTAGCGAGACCAACAAGTTGATAAAATATTTTTTATACTATTGTTAACTAAATTATATTCATCGATAAATTTTAAGTTTCATAGTGTTATCTCTCAGCGTTCAAACATTATGACCAATAAACCCTCCTCAATTTGAGGGGGTTAAATTTTATATGGTCATAATTTTTGAATGCTAAGAGATAATACTATGAAACTTTAAATTTATCGATGAATATAAGTCTATTTGAGAATAGTACAAAAAATATTTTATCAACTTGTTGCCCTCACGTTAAGGGGAAGGAGGAATGAAATTTTGGGGTTTGTTTGTTCTCAGCCTCCAAACCCTTATTTGTTCCCTCGTCTTTCATAAAATGTTCCATAACTTTTCAAATAACATTAAAATTGCTTCATAAAAAAGATTTTAACAGATTTAAATGTTAAATGCATAAAGAAGCATAAAGAACAGTTTTAGTTTAAATTAAAACTGTTCTTTATGCGTCCTCTTCAGTTTTTAAAGCAAAATCTACGATTGGATATCATTTATAATAAAAATCCTAACACCTACTGCGCTCAGCTGAGCTCATAAAATTTGGTTGCAAATTTTTATCTATATATATAAGAGTGTATTTAAAATAGATGACACGTGCGGCCTAGTGATTTTTGGCTTCAGTAAAGGTAAGAGTTAAAAAAAAAATGTTGTGCATTTTAAGAGATTTTTGTTGAAAAACACTTTGAAAAAACAGCAAGCATAAAAATAATTTTTTAGATTTCTTTTTTATATTTTAATACTTGATGTCAATGGACTAATTTAAACTTTTAAGAAATTAAAATGTTGTAATATTATCTTGCTGCCCTCATATTTCATTTGTATAGGTTTTTTTTACATATTCACCAATATTTGAAAAATAAAATACTGCCATTTTTGTAGTAAAATTGATATGTTGAGTCCAAAAATCACTGTAGGGAAAAAACTATATCAGTTTTAGAGTGCTGGAGGTCTCTAGATTAATTTTACAAAAAAAATTACTCCAATATAAAAGTTGGTTTTGAAGGGTTTTGCTCAATTCTGGTCCATTGTGTGATACATAAGAACATTTAACCAGGAAGTTCATGCTACTTTCTTTACCAATGTCGCTTATCTGGCATTGAACCTTGGATCAAAGCCAGAACTCTAACCACTGTGCCACAGCTGCTTTGAACAACTGAATATAATATAATAATATATTATATTATATACTTTATGTAATAATACATAATGTAGAATATAATATGTTTTTACGAGAGTATATAATATATTTTTGAGAGAGAAAACAGTATATTCTTTAAAAAGTGTGTTATATTTTATAGAAAGGAGAATTTAATATGCTCACCGTAAAAATAAAAGGTTATCGGCAAGTTTCAGCCACAGATGTATCTTTGTGAAATGCGCATGCGTGTTATATGTAAGAATTAAGGTTGGGTCGTATTTTATGAGAAGGGAAACTCCGTTAAGCAATTCTTTATTTTTTTGTATTTTTTTGATTTTTTATTGAAGTAAAAGTTTATAATAGCAGTTTAATAGATCCTGTATTCAAGGTTGAGTGGAATTGGTTGTAATTTTTTTAAAAATTTTAGAAAATTTTTAGAGTTTATCCTTTTCATTTTTACATTTAAAAAAACATTTTTAAAAACGAGTTTTATTTTGACAACGTTCAGCTAGTCTGGTGTCGAGCACTACAAATAATAAGACTCATAACATGTGAATACAATTGAAATCAATGTAATCGAACATACAGTATTGGATATAGTTTGGTTTATTTATTTTATTTTAAGCTACCTGTTCACTAAATACATGTTAAAATTATTAGAAGAAATTTTCCTATAAGTTTTATTCTCAAACTGTCACTGCAAAGTCTTAACAAGTGGTTTCTTTCATACAGCAAGTTACTTTTAATAAGAAACTATGTCTTTGGATTAAACTGCAAAAGTGGTATATTATTATTAAAAAATGGTTTAATGCCTAAATACAAAATGTTAAATTGTTTTATTGTCAATAAAAAATTTGTTTTGTTTTTTTACACTTTGCCGGTCTTTATCTATTTCTGCTGTATATTAATGTTCATTTGGAATAGCACATTGGTTAAGCTATTATATATATAAGCTAAAGGGTTAATATATAAAAAATACAAAAATTTTATTTTAACTAAATGTTTTTTTAAAAAGCAACATTCAGCTGAATACCACAAAATCTGATAACCTAAAACCACTAATTTTGCAAAACAATATATGATACACTGTTTTTTTAAATTTAAATTTTATATCACATGAAGAACCTACATAAATAAATAAATAAAAATAAAAAAAATTGATATAAAAAGTATATTTTTATAATAAAATAATAAATTTAAATATGTATAAATAAAAATAGAAATAAAATTAAAGTTAAAAAATATATATAAATATGATAAAAAAAGGAAAAAAAACAACAGAACGGAAACAAAAAAACATGTCCCCGAAAGTCGCGACTAGAATGCTATATATATGTGTGTATATATATATATATATATATATATATATATATATATATATATATATATATATATATATATATATATATATACATACATATATACATATATATACATACAGAGATTAGTTTTTCAAATAGTTTTATTTACCGTAAAACCACCTAATTACAGACATTTTGAAGTAAAAATTAAATATCTTGCTTGTTATAACTAATTTTGAAAAATAAAAACACTAAATATGTACAGCAACAAGACAAATCAAACAATATAAAAAAATATAATTATTACAATTTTAAATTTCATTAAACTTAAGTTTTTAAAAAACTTGTTTTTATCCGTAATTAGGGTAGGATTAATTAAATTAATTAAAACTCATTAAATTAATTATTTTACAAGCTTTTGGCTTGTTTTAGGCTTGCTTTTCATAGTTTTTTTTTTGCTTTTTCTTTTTTTTGAGACACAGCAATTTAATTTTATTCTCTAGATGGTTTTTTGGCAGCTTGTTTGTCTAGTTTTTGTTTTTTCGATTCTTGTTCGGCTTCGTTAAAAGCTATAGCCTCGGCTGAAGTCATTATAATTGGCTGGCTGTTTAATTTTTTTGCTTTTCTCTTTTCTATTATCTAAAGGTGTATGTTGATCTTTAAGCAACATTAAAACTGATTAGTTGATGTCTTTTCTGGCTTTTTTAACTGTTTCATTTATCGTATATAAACTTCTAAGTTACACTTCTCAGTTTGACATTCTACTTAATGGTGTTTTAGGAGTGTTAGTTACAGCCTGAAATAAACTATTGATGTTCTCATCTTCAACAGCTTCAAAAATCTTGCTATAGCCACCACTACTAAATGCTATAGCTATTTTCAGGTTTAAACAAATTTTTTCGATAAGATCCTTGAACATGGCAGGATATTGTCCCCGAAATTAAACTAACACATTTTACACACAATTAAGTGTTAATAAATAATAATTACCTGTATCCGGAAATAGGTATCTTTTTTTTGTGTGCTTGTTATTAATATATTTTCAATATATTTAAAGAAATATTAAAATTATTGCAATTTTTGTTAATTTAATTTTCTTAGATTTCAAGTTAAAAGCTAACACAAAGAAATATATTTTATTACAAAGTCAATATATTTTTGAGTTGTTTTTTTATTGTTCGATTTGTCTTGTGTTTAAGTTTATTAAAAAAAAAAAAAAAAAAATTATAAATTCGATATAATATAAACAATACATAGCTTTTTATAAAACCATCTGTAATTAGGTATCCGTAATTAAGTGGTTTTACAGTATACTGTTAAATATTAATCTGTTAAATAATTATCAACATTCTGTTTTTTTTTGTTTTTGTATATATATATATAAATATATATATATATATATATATATATATATATATATATATATATATATATATATATATATATATATATATATATATATATATATATATAAGTTCTCGGAATTAGGGTTGGCATTGGGCAATACTGACCTAACTGCTGACCTAGAAGTGTTTGAGGTCAGCAAAAATTTATGACCTCAAGATTTTTTTTTGCCATTCTGATACTAATCTCTAACTTTAAGGTTGGCAAAATATTGCGGACCTTATTTTCACTAATTCTGAGGGCTGGTGTTATGGATTACATATTTATCTATGTTATAGATTACACTTTTTTATATTCTCTTAATTATACTTTATAGATGTCAAAAAAGTATTGTGTATATGGAAAACTAACTATCAAAGTACCAAAAATAATAAAATAGAATGTTATCTGTCTACTTGCATTTTGGTACAAAAAATGGCAGAAATCAAACTCTGATAACTTTAATATAAGCAGTAATGAATGGCAAGGTGGAATTTTTTCACTGTTCTTGTTTCAATTTTATATACGAAAACTGATTTTTACTATTATGAATTTGCATATTGGATGTAACCTAGGTGGCATTTTTTTGATTCTTCTGGCATATGCAGACGTTATTGTCCTTATTGCACCATCTTGATTTGTATTGCAAAAATTACTAACTGCATTAAATGTTGAAGCCACTGCTATTAATATGTCATTTAATACCAAGAAAACAGTGTGCATGGTTTTTAATCCAAAGCAGAAATGTAAAATTGTTTTATACAAATTTCCTCCAATTACTTTAGCTGGTTGTGAATTGGTTTTTGTGGACAAATTTAAGACACATTGTTGAAAGCAGTTTTACTGATAATGATGATAAAAATATATAGATAAAATGTTTATATATGTACACAAATATTATTAACAGACGATTCAAGAGATGCTCAGTTAATGTAAAAGCTAAAAGTGAAAAGTTATTTAAGATGTACTGCTTCTGTTTGTACAATGCGGCTCTGTAGCTTAACTTTGGTGTAAATATTTTGTTAAATCTACAATCTTGTTATTAGAAATGTGCTAAAATATTTTTTGATTATGACAAGTATTCAAGTGTTGAAGATATATTTAATGACCTGGTTCATTTCAGATACTTCATTACTCAACTGCAGGCAGTCTTAAAAATCAGCTTGTTGTCTGCGTTAATAATTTTTGAGAATTTACCTTTTGAAATATTCCATTGTGCAATAATATGTTTCATATAAAGTTTATGTCAAAGTTTAAAGAAATTGTACATTTTTTTTATCTCATGGAGACAGATCATAAAAAAAACATTCAGCAACTATTATCAGTTATGTTTGCAAAGATGATTGGAAACAAAATATATGCAACAAATATAATTGTATATAAATGTAAAAAAATATATATTTTACCATGGGGGATATTATTGGGTAAATCTAAGATAAGATTCCAATTTAAAATTTAAATTTTTGTTTTTACAAATAAACTCTAACATAAGACTTATTAAATCATCTTCTGGTGATATAAAAGTTGTTATCTGTGACTTCAGTTTGGTGATATGGCTCTTGAAATGTGTTTTAAAAATGGCAAAAGAGTTAAGCAGTTATCTAATGATACTGTATTTATTAGCAATGAGTCAAGGTTACATTCTCTTTGGTATGTTTACAAGTGACAATTTAGAATTACTTTATAAATGATATTAATAAAAGAATTACTTTATAAATGAATTACTTTATAAATGTTCAACAAACTATAGAAAAATTGCATTTAAATCACGTATCACTGTTGTTATCTTTAAATATCGACTCTTTTAATTTTAATTCAGGTCATGAGTGCGCTTCTTGCACATATGTTTTATGTGAAGCAGGAAGTGAAATATTTGACAATTTAGAAAAACGAGAATCATCATTTTCTGATACTACCAAAATGTCTAAGATATGTATTGCTGGTTATGTACGAAGAAATGATTATAATGAAAATAATTTGTTCCATTAAACATTACTTTATTATGAAAAGTTTGGTGACCAGTCTATATATCGTGGTGATCTTAAAATTCCACTAGACAATGTATACTAATGGGTTTTTTTTTTTTGCTTATTTCATTCGATAAAAGATAAAGTTTGTTTTAAGTCTATGAGTGACATCTTTTGGCTAGTTTCTGAGTTTTACTATTTTGAAATTAATCAGAAATAAAGCAACTACGCATGCTAATTTATTTTTAAACGATTTTGGTGTATACAAATTTCACCAAAATCTAATAAAGAACCAATATTAAAAATATTTGAGTTATCGTGAAGTTAATTAGAAAAGAATGATTTGTATTTGTTGTTAAAATATATGTAAATATTTTTTGTTTATATGTGTGTGTGTGTGTGCGTGTGTGTGTGTGTGTGTGTGTGTGTGTGTGTGTGTGTGTGTGTGTGTGTGTGTGTGTGTGTGTGTGTGTGTGAGTATAGATTCTAACTTTTTATTACATTTTAATATAAATATTTCTAAATAAACTAATTCAATTCATTAATAGTTTTAATTTGACTCTAACTTATAAATTTTTATTGCAGAGCTGCTAATAATCCGGGAAAATAATAGGTCCCCGTTAACGGCTTACGGTTGCGCGATGAAGAGACTTTCAGTATAGATCGCCTTGGTCGCGAAACTATAAAAATTTCTAAAATAATCATTTTATAAAATAATCAAATAAAATTATCAAAATAATATTGTAAAAATTGTAACTGATTAATTTTTAAGCAAAATATTTATACTATATTTATTATCAAATTGATTATTATAAGAAGCGATTTGTACATCGTTATTTTTCATCTAGTTTTACATTTTCTAAATTTTTATTTTTCATTTAACTTTTTTTTAATTTTATTTTTTGCATTTATAAATATAAAGCCAATATAGATATCGAAGTAATATTAACGTTTTTTTTTTTTTTTTGTTGTCCTTGTTTTTTTTTTATGAAAAGTAAGAAGAGTTAATAGAAATAAAGATAGAAGATTAAATAGAAAAATATTAACTTAGTAAGTACACATTTAAGAACGATTTTCAAAGTAAAGCGATGAGAGCTTTTTATTATAACAGAAAAGTTCATTTTTAAAATTCAAAAAAGAGAAATTCAAAATAGTTTTAGTTTTTTTTAGCGTTTTTTGATTTTTCTTATTTTAACTTTGGAATGATATAGAAAGAATTATAATTTTAAGGGTCGGCAAATTTTTAATGAAAAACGCAGAGTTCATCAAACGTACATGGTCGCGTAGTGTCAAGTAAGTATAGGCTAAAGAATAACATCCGTTCAAAATTTATTTTCTTCAAGTTGAGTAATTAGTGCTTAAGTTACATATTTTATAGCCAAAAAAAAGATGCTAATCTGAAAGCAAAATAATGAAAAATTTGTTTGAAAACGAGTTTTAAATGTTTACCTCTGCTTTCATATGCAGTGTATCGAATAATACTGATCCGTCTTGGAAGTTTTTTAAAGCCACACCTTTTTCCATTTGTTAAATTGTGATTCTTCCAACTTGATCTTTGACTTTAGTCTTTTTTTGGTCTTGTTTTTATATATCAATCGTGCTAAATTAAAGTAATTAAAACAGTTTTTTAATATGAGTTTACAATCATTTTTTTTTTTTTTTGGAAAGTTTTTAAAGTACTTACCCCAGGAACTAAAAATTTTGAAAAATATTTTTTGCGTTAAAGTCAAAAAAAAATTAATTAAATGCTTAGAGTAAATGTGTATCTCTTAACATCTAGATTTCTTTAATTTCTGATAAATTAGAATTTGAAATTCAGTTTAACTTTGATTTCTCGATTTTAGTTTTTTCGCTCACTGAGTTTCATTGCTTTTAGGAATTTAAAAATACATTTTCCGTACAATAATTGTCTGAAAGCAAGTATTTTTCTAACTTTGCTTTCTACTGAGGTATTTCAATAAACAATAAAGATATATTTATATGTTTTGAGTTGATTATCACCATGATCGGTTGAATTGGACGATTTTAAATTAAGTTTCCTCAAAAACCACTTCACCAATTGTAATATTTTTTTTTTATACAATGTTGTTTTTTGTAAGTGGGTGTAATTTTGTTTCATTCTCATTAGTTTTTGCAATTTTAAGTAAAGAGTCTGAAAATTGAGATAAAATTTTGAAATTTTTCATAGAAAATCTATTGCTCTCATATTCTATGATTTCAAAAGCATGTAAAGTTTCAAACCCAACAGTTAGAATTATTATAAATAGATATAAGGAAAACAAAACCGTAGAAAGAAAATCAAGAAGTGGTTGAAAATCAAGATTTATTTCCAAAAAAGAACCTAAATCAATTGACGACTCAATTCATCGAAATCCGACTCAGTTACTACAAGATTTAGCTACAAAGTTTAAATGTAACAAAGCTTTCGTTCAAAGAGTATTCAAAAAGAAAAGTTTGAAAGAATATTACAAGAAAAAAATGCCAAAAAGCCCGCTTGATGGAGAAATCAATTGAACGAGCTAAAAATTTGCTTAAACAAATTGCGAAAATGATTATGAAAAAAAAATTATTATGGCAGGCTATTTGCATTTGTGGTTTTAAAAGCTCTCCTTTCATAACAAATCGATCTTTGACATCAGATCTATATGTGACTGAATGCTTGAAAAAACGACTATTCCTCTAATTAAAAAGCACAAACAACCAACATTATTTTGGCCAGAATTGGCATCGATCCACTATTCCAAAAAAAGTAATGAAGTGGTATGAGAAAAATAGATTCAATTTAGTTCAATAGGATGCTAATCCACCAAACATTCCTAGGCAACGAGTAATCGAATCTTATTGGGCAATTGTGAAGGGAATATTGAGGAAAAAAGGCAAATGTGCAAATAGTGTTTAAAATTTTCGTAATTTATGAATTAATGCTACAAAAAAAGTGACGCAAAGTAAAATTGTGGAGATAATGGCGGGTACTTTGCAAAAAATCAAATTACTTGCACGTCGTAAAGTTAAGGTTAACTTAATTTTGTTGAAATAAAAAGAAATTATGTAAGCATCATTATAAAAAAAATCATTACAATTGATTTGGTGGTTTTTGAGAAAACTCAATCTAAAATCGTCCAAGTTTCAACCAATCATGGTGAAATATAATATATCTATTCTAAGCAAATTTAAAGTCTGTTTAGATTATTATTATTATTATTATTATTATTATTAACTAAAAATGTTTTAAGGAAGTCTACACAAGCTACTTGCTCTTTGAAAAAACATCTCTTCCAGAAATATCAATCTGTATCAAACACATCAAAATTTTTGATCAAGTTGAAAAATTTTAACGCCATAAAATATATCGTAGTTCCGTTTAAATAAAATTAACTTTACTTTACAACAGTTTTAGCATTTAATTTTTAATTGATTAAATATGATAAACAGAATATATTTTTAATAAGTTTTATTACCTAAATTTACCTGAAACACGAGCTAAACTTAGTATCTAATAAACAGAATGTATTTTTAATAAGTTTTATTAACCTAAATTAACTTGGAACACAAGCTAAATTTAGGCTCTATTAAGCTTTAAGAAATATATTTCCGCTTAACTACATAAACTCACTCGCATTTACACCTAAACTATTATTTACCCTCTCCCTTTCTCCCCCTTTCTTTTATATATATATATATATATGTATATATATATATATATATATATATATATATATATATATATATATATATATATATATATATATATATATATATATATATATATATACCTGTGTTTGTGTGTGTGTCTTAAACTATTTAAAAATAAGTTTTATCAAGTTATAATTAGTTAAAAATTAGTTTTATAAAGTTATATAATAGTTAAAAGAAATTATAAATACTATATTAACAATAAATAAATATGTAAATGCTGTCAAACGTTAATTACAATAACTATGAATCACACTTTCTGTCGAGATTTCTAGTGTAATGTAGAACATATAATACCATTAAAAAATTTACTTAATTGTATATTCTTAGTACAGTAAAAATCGTACAAACTCCTATAGTTTCTTATCCCAGAGCTAAAAATAAGTTTGAAAATTGATGAAGGGGTAAAGAATGTAAAAAGGTTGCGCTTTTCTTTTGCAGATATAATTCTTTGTAAAAGATTTGTAAAAATTCCTTTTTTGTATATAAAAAAAAATGAAAAACTAAGCAGAGAAACGTCAAAGTTGAGCTGAATAAAACTCATGCAATCTGTATAATGTATACGCTTTGCTTACATAGCAATGACACTGAAATGATAAAAAACTACAACTATTGAGTCATTTGTATATATATATATATATATATATATATATATATATATATATATATATATATATATATATATATATATATATATATATATATATATATATAGATATAGATATATATAGATATATAGGTATAGATATCTAGGTATATATATATACATATATATATATATATATATATATATATATATATATATATATATATATATATATATATATATATATATATATATATATATATATATATATATATATATATATATATATATATATATATATATATATACATACATTATTATATGATATAAAAATATTTATGGAAAAATAACACAATTACAGTTCTTAAGCATAAAATAACGCCCATCTTTTACTGATAACTTTTAATTATTGTAAACCTAATTATATGTAAACAATTTCTTTGAATCGTTTTTTTTTTCAATTATAATTCAACTAGATTCTTGGAGTTCGTGATTCCTGGATTCTTCAACAATCTTATAAAACATTGTTTAAAATAACTCAGCTAGGAGTTGTTCGACTCTTTTATAATGTTTGATTAAATGTAGAGACGATGTTTTTAACTCAATAAACTAAGGATTCTTGTTGTTTTATTATATTTCCTTTGTTTGAATATAATCACATTAAAAATGAATGTACGCCTTTATCGATGTGCATGAGATAAAACGATTAAGCAATGTCAAATTCAAAAGGGTTATTTTATATAATGAGTTATTAATTAGCTTGTTTGTATTCTAATAATTTGATTATTGTTTGCATTTTTTTTTTTTATATTGAAGATTAGTATTCCTTATTCCAAATAATTTTATAAAAGTTATTATTAACAGTGTGAACTATGTTTTATATATATATATATATATATATATATATATATATATATATATATATATATATATATATATATTTATATATATATATATATATATATATATATATATATATATATATATATATATATATATATATATATGTATATATATATATATATGTATATATATATATAATAACTTTTAACAATAATTTAAGTTATCAAAGGTATCAAGTATTTGCTTGTCGTTTGCTAAATTACTAAATTTAGCAAAAATCTTTCGTTTTAAAGATACATTATATTGATAAATGAAATGCTGACAAAATATTAAGTAAATATCGTGATATATATTTGTATATGTACACATACACACACACGAACACATACACGAACACACGTGTGTGTGTGTGTATGTGTGTATGTTTTTGTTGTTATTACTTATTATTATTGTTAGTACTTTCCTTTAGTATTTTAACTTTTTTTTTATAAGAAAGCAAAACTAATAGATTTGTTGTTGAAACTTTTGAAAGCAAATTTAAATTTAAATTAGCTAATAACAAAATCTTTTTCATCAATCTAAATTACTACCGTCTTCGCTTGAAGAGTAATTTTGAAGAATACAAGGTGAAAGAAGGGGGAATTTGAAACGCAAGGGGTACCCGAAATGTTTCAATTTTTTCTCTAAAACACGCAAACAGTTGTTATTGTCTTTTATTGAACCGATTTTGTTTATCGTTAGCACTTGACGCTGCTTGTGTACGCATTTTATTATGCCTTTTGTTACGTCCTTTATTAAACGAACTTATTTTCTTAAAAATGGTATAATGTAAAAACGTTTGTGTTTGTTTTGAATTGTTTTTGGTGATTTGACCACTTATCATGCTTCGTGTATAAGCTAATAAAAAGAATTTGGCTAGAAATTTCTCTGATTGATTATATGATGCAATCTTGAAAACTTTGAAAAGTTGTAGTTATATTCGGAACACTTTTAATATAAAATTTTTGAAAATGTAAGTTTTAACAACTCATGAGTTTAGAAATCACTTATCATAACTTTTTTAAAAGTTTTCTGGGAGATATTTGTAAAATATCAGCTTTTGAAAAAAATTCATATGCAAATTCAAAAAAATGTCCTTTTAATAATATTTTTTCTCTGATATATAAGTTAGCTTTTTTTTCCCATTAAATGAATTTTAAAACATCAAACTTTAAAACGTCAAATTTTTAAATCATCAAATTTTAAAACATTAAACACAATATTTTCAATAACTATTTTACTTTATTCTTCTCAACTTTTAAGTGGCATTACGCAAAATTAGTTTAAATAATTTTAATTTTATGAAACATCAAAAATAAATAAAAGCTTTGATAATAAGTCAAAATTTTATAATTTTTAATCAATTTCTTTTAGTTTCTCGATCGTGATATATTTTGGCTTATCTTAAAATGCGTTTCAAATTTCCTGACATTCTTCAC